GTTGTCACCGCCTTGGTAAGCATGTCTGCTGAATTCTTTGTACCAAGGATCTTCTTCAAATTTATAGTACCATCTTCAATCAATTCTCGAATGAAATGATACCGCATCTTGATGTGTTTCGTTCTGCTGTGAAACACCGGATTCTTCGCGAGATGAATAGCACTCTGGTTGTCACAGTATAGACCGCAATCTCCCTGCTTCATGCCCAACTCTGAAAGAAAGTTCTTCAACCAGATCAACTCCTTGGCCGCTTCAGCAATGGCCATATATTCTGCTTCTGTGGTTGAAAGAGCTACGCTCTTCTGTAGTCTGGACATCCAACTGATTGCCGTACCTCCAATAGTGAATACATACCCTGTAGTGCTCTTCCCGGAATCACAACAGCCCCCCAAATCAGCATCGGCAAATCCTTCTAGGATTACACCATTCCTCCTGAAACATAGGGCAGTTTCAGAAGTACCTTTCAAGTAGTGCAACAGCCACTTAACTCCTTCCCAATGTCCGGCCTTGTTGACACCATCGCGTACATCAAGCTGCCAACGGCTGATGCATAAGGAACTTTAGCCATTTCTTCTTTGTCTTCACTGGTCTTTGGAGACTGCTGCTTGGAGAGTCTCAAATGACTCCCTAACTGTGTACTCCTTGGTTTGGCATCCGTCATTTTGAACTTCTCAAGGACCTTCTGAATGTACTTCTTCTGTGAAAGCTGTAAAGTACCATCTATCCTGTCTCTGACTATGCTCATCCCAAGAATCTGTCTCACTTCTCCTAAATCCTTCATCTCAAACTCTTCGGACAACTTCTTCTTAAGCTTGTTGATCTCCTGCATGTTTGCTTCAGCCACTAACATGTCATCAACATACAAAAGAAGAATAATGTATGATGACTTGAATTTCTTTAAGTAACAACAATGGTCCATCTTACATTTAGTGTACCCATTCCGCTACATAAAACTGTCAAACTTCAAGTACCACTGTCTAGGAGCTTGCTTTAGTCCGTATAGACTCTTCTTGAGTTTGCACACCTACTTCTCCTTACCACTCACTGGGAAACATACTGGTTGAGCCATGTAAATGTCTTATTCAAGGTTGCCATGAAGAAAAGCAGTCTTTACATCCAGCTGCTCCAATTGCAAATTTTCAGCAGCAACAATACCAAGGATCAACCTAATAGTAGTCATCTTCACAACCGGAGAGAAGGTTTCATTGTAATCAACCCCCTTCTTCTGTCGGAACCCTTTGACTACTAACCTCGCCTTGTATCTTTTGCTTCCATTTGCTTCATCTTTGATTCTGAACACCCACTTGTTCTCCAAAGCTTTCTTTCCCGGTGGTAGCTTGACTAAGGACGAAGTTTGGTTCTTGTCAAGTGAATCTAACTCCTCCTCCATGGCCTTCTTCCACTGTATGGAATTTCTCACGGTCAGTGCCTCTGAGTAAGATTCTGGCTCTCCATTCTTAGTCAGCAACAGGTAATTTGCTGAAGGAGAATATCTGTTAGGAGGTCTTCTATTTCTAGTGGACTGTTTGATGTGTGGAGTAGCTGCCTCTGAACTCCCACTATCTTCATCACTCCCACTATCTTCAGAAATTACTGTATCTCCTGAGCTCCCACTGCTCCCAGAGCCTCCAGTCATCTCATCACAACCAACAGGTGGTGCTATGTCATCTTCAGTCATCCCGTCAAACACCACTTGTTGTTTGTTTTCTAGTTGGTTGGCTTTGCTAGTTTCTGCTGCAAGACCGTCTTTATACAAAGCATTCTCGTTGAAGGTGACATCTCTACTTCTGATAACCTTCTTGCTGTGGTTGTCCCAGAACCTGTAGCCCATGTCATACAACCCGTACCCAATAAAGATACATTTCTTTGCCTTTGCCTCGAGCTTGTCACTATCTGCATCTTTAACTTTGACATAAGAAATACAACCAAAAACTTTCAAGTGAGGAAGAGATACCTCTCGACCTTTCCATTCCTCTTCTGGAATTCTGAAACCTATGGGAGATGAGGGTCCTCTGTTGATCAAGTACGCTGCTGTGTTCACCGCATCGGCCCAGAACATCTTTGGGAGTCCTGCATGCAATCTCATGCTCATGGCCCTCTCATTCAGTGTTTAGTTCATTCTCTCTGCAACACCATTTTGCTGTGGTGTTTCTGGAACTGTCTTCAGCATTCTGATCCCCTGTTCAGCACAATACTCTACAAACTCTGTGCTACTGTACTCACCCACATTATCACTCTTTAAACACTTAATCTTGAGATTTGTTTCATTCTCAACTGCAGCTTTGAAGTTCTTAAAAGTGTTAAAGACATCAGATTTATTCTTAAGAAAATAAACCCATACCTTCCGTGTAGAGTCATCAATGAATGTAACATAGCAGCGGGAACCTCCATTTGAAGAGACCTTTGTAGGTCCGTAGACATCTGAATGAATCAGCTCCAACCTTTCTGTCTTGGGTGATTGTCCCATCTTCACAAAGGTTACTCTCTTTTGTTTGCCAAGTACACATGGCTCACAAAAGTTCAACTTTGAATTCTTCAAATCAAGGATTTTGCCCTTTGAAGACAGCATCTTCATTCCGTTCTCACATATGTGACCAAGTCTTTGGTGCCACAAAATAGAGACCACTGTATCTTCAACTGCTGCGTTTGCTTCATCTGTGGACACTTCAACCATGTACAGGGTACCATGCTTCTGTCCACGAGCAATGACCAGCTTTCCCCTTGTCACTTTCCATTGCTTGTTGCCAAAACTAACGTTATGGCCTTCCTCATCAAGCTGTCCCATTGAGATCAACATCTTCTTCAGGTCTGGAATATACCTCACATCTTTCAACCTCCAGGTTGTACCCAAAGTGGTACTGAGATCAACATCCCCAATACCCGTGATCTCTAGGGATTTGTCATCCGCCAAACGAACTCTTCCGTTGTAGGGCCTGAAATTTGTCATCAAATCCCTGCAATGGTAAGCATGAAACGACGCACCTGAATCTATGATCCAGGACTCAATTGAATTCTCAACGCTGCAAATTAGAACATCTTCATAGTCCTCTTCCACGTTCACCTCCTTCTTGCCTTTGTCTGCAGAGGCTTTTGGGTACTGATTTCTGAAGTGTCCATTCTCCTTGCAATTCCAACAATTGATGTCCTTCCTATTCTTGGATTGACCTCTCTTTCTCGACTTTGATCTTCCTTTCTTGTTACCCCCTCTAGTGGATTTTCTGCCCCTATCTTCAGTGCTCAACAAGCTGTTGGAGCTATCCCCCGAACTCCTCCTCCGGATATCCTCACCAAGGATTAAGTCACGAATACCTTCAAAAGTAAGCTTAGTGGTTCCAGCCGAACTACTAACTGTTGTGACTGTACTGGACCAACTATCGGGCAAAGATGATAACAAAAGTAATGCTTGAACTTCATCATCGAATTTGATCTCAACCGAGCCTAACCTGGATATGATTGAATTAAACTCGTTGATGTGATCTGTCACTGATGCACCTTCCTTCATCCTTGTGTTCACCAACTGTCTGATTAAGAAAACCTTATTGGCCGCTGAGGGTTTCTCATACATGTTGGATAACGCCTTGAGTAGTCCAAACGTTGTCTTCTCGTTGACGATGTTATAAGCAACGTTTTTCGCCAACGACAACCTTACCACACCAAGAGCCTGTCGATCCAGCAAGTTCCACTCCGCTTCCGCCATTGATTCTGGTTTGTTCTCAGACAAGGGTAGATGAAGCTTCTTCTGGTAGAGATAATCCTCGATCTGCATCTTCCAGAAAGCGAAATCTTGACCATCAAATTTATCGATCTTAACCTTCCCTTCGTTAGCCATAGCTCTGATACCACTTGTTACGATTAGGCAAAGATAAACGATAAATTAAAGAACAAGAACACAAGAATTTACGTGGTTCACAGAATCGGTGTGATTCTGCTAGTCCACGACGAACGAGAGAGAGTTGAGTATTATTATGTCGGCGTCAGAGGTTTACAAGTACATTAGGGTGTTTAAATAGGTTTACGAAGACCTAAATACAGATTAAAGCCGCAGGCCCTGATTAAGCCCACAAATTAAAAAATCTGTCCCGTATACCCGGTCGGGTGCCCTCCTTTACCCGGTCGGGTATATACTCAGAAAGCTTACCCGGGTCCATACCAGGGCGGGTAACCAAAACAAAAGCTAAAACCTTCACTGACCCGGTCGGGTACATCTCCTGACCCGGTCGGGTCTCACGTTCCAGTGAGTTCCCAGGTCTGGGCTTCAACATACCCGATCGGGTAGACCACATATACCCGATCGAGTTTCCATTCCAGAAAGTTGCCCGGCCTAAATCACCATCAAACCCAGTTTAAAAGCTGCTCTAATAATCTGAACAAGACTCCATCTTCAATAGTTACACTATAAAGAGTAATTTGATATTGATAAGTCTCAACAACAACAAAATGAACTCCAAGATATATCTTCTTCAATGAGTCACCATCTTTCAAAGAAGTTTTTTTAGGTGTATTCACACTTCACAACATAAATACAGACTAAGGGTTTGTTTGCAACAGCTTATGCTTTTAAAAAGTGCTTTTTTCAATGAAATGGGGACACATGATTAAATAAAAGTTGATAGTGTTTGAGAAAAAAGTGATTTTGAAAAGTAAAAGTGGGTAGTGTTTGGTAAAATAAGTGTTTTTTGTGTAATACAAAAAGTAAAAGCACTTTTGACGCGGAAGCCAAGAAAAATAAAAGTTGTAGTGTTTGGAAAAATAAGTGTTTTTTTAAAGTCAAAAATTGAGAAATGCTTTTTTAAAAGCAGTTGCAAAACAAGTCTAAATACCGGCAATGCCGCACCTAAAAAACGCATGCAATATTCAAATTCCATCACTACGTCCATCACATTTCATTTCACTTGTGAACAACAAAATCGATAACAGTATAAAGCAATGATTACATTTCACTCTCTCTACTATAAATACCTACTCATCTCCCCTTTCTCTCGTCACCATTAACTTCACGTGCAGTTTCTTCAGCCTAGCTACTCTGATCTTGTCTCTCCATCATATCCTTTAACCTAGTATATGTCCCTATACTGAACTGATCCTTTTCATACATTGAACAGAAATGGAGGAAGCTATACTCAAGAGGCTAGGCTGTCTAACCCACGACAGCACTTCTGACATCCTCGCCCCGCCGCATCCCCCGTCTTCCAAGAGATGCGGTGGTCCAGCCGTTAAGCGCCCTCCCTGCAGAGACGGTGCCTCCGGCGGCGGAGTAAAGTACCGCGGCGTGCGCCGCCGACCGTGGGGCCGATATGCGGCGGAGATCAGGGACCCGCTGTCGAAGGAGAGGCGGTGGCTTGGAACCTATGACACGGCGGAGGAAGCCGCTTGTGCGTATGACGTGGCGGCTAGGGCCATGCGTGGGGTTAAAGCCAGGACCAACTTCTTGTTCCCGCCGTGTCCGCCGCCGCTCTCCGCCGTCAACGGGCTTTACCTTCCCAAATCCCCTCACACCCATGCAAACGACAGCCGGTTTTTTCATCCCATGCTTTCATCGCTGTCATCGAACAGTAACCTAAACACCAATAATGTTCCTTCTTGTTCGTCTTTCATTAACCAAATCTCAGTCGTGCACGGCGGCGGTAATTCCATTTCTACCCCTCTGACTTCCTGTTTAGATACTCCGACCATGACCCAGAGTTCTCCGGTTGGTTCTGAAGGGCCCACGTGTGGACTTGACTTCTTTAAATCTCAGCCGTCGGATTCCGGGCTATTAGGGGACGTTCTCAATGGGTTTTTCCCGAAGCCCACGTCCATGAAATCTGAGCCGTCCACGTATGCAACTGACGCCACATCCAAGGGCTTTGATGGAGACGGCAACTTTGGGGTAATCGGTAACGATCATTCTTATCATCAGGAGGAAGCGTTTGGGTGTTTGGATGATGGTTTCGGTTATCCACCGCCGCCGCCGCCGCCGCAGTTTAATATCGGCAACGAGTTTCCGGCGTTGACCGGCGTGCCGGTGTTCCGGTCGGACGACGAGATTGGAGGCTTTGGTAATTTTATTACCAAGCTGTATAACTACTATTGATTGATTTAATCGTACTTTTTTTAATTTGCAAAACCTTTGACATGTAGTAGCTCTTTGTTTTGTGTGCTAATGAAAGCAATGAATGAAAGGTTTAAGTATGGAGTATTTGGGATTCTTGGAATTGGAAGTAGTTCTTAACCATTTCCTTGTACTTTGTAATGAATATCATTATGTCCTCTCTTGGGATTTAATGAAATGCTTTTTAATTACCGATGGAATAAAATTGAAATACTCATAATTATTACTTGTATTAGTAATTACTTGTATACACGCATTATAATAGCAAGTGTTTATCAACTACCTAAAGTTTGATACTCCCTCTGTCCCTTAAAACTTTGCCAAGTTTGACCGGCACGGAAATTAATAAAGTAAAAACAGTGTGGTTGAAGTTTGTGTAGAGGAGAGAATTAACTAGAACCACAAATATCTTACTTGAAAAGGAAAGTGACAAAGTTAATGGGACATCCAAAAAGGGAAAATTGACAAAGTTTTAAGAGACGGAGAGAATAAAAAAAACTAGGGGTGAGCATGAGACGGTGATGTGAGACACTTATTTCAAAAAATCCGTCCCGTTCCGTATCAATTTTCGATACGGTTCGGTACATTTTTTCGGTACTAATTGATTCTTAAATAATTAACTCTTTTAAAGTCAAAAATATTTCAAGTTTTACCATTAATAAGTAACTATACAAAAATTGAAGAGAAGGGATTGCAAGATTAAAATCAAACATAATTGAAATACAAAACTAATAGTCAAAACTATAATAAGGATAGGTAAGATTCAAATAAAAATCGAAAGTGATACTGTGATAGTCAAACTAAAAAATTACTCCGTAAAAGGTATGTCTTCACATGACAAATATAATATACTACTATAATATAATATTTGAGTAAAGCTCGATTCTTTATAATCTCATACGGTTTTATATATAATACGTACAATATATATATATATATATATATATATATATATATATATATATATATATATATATATATATATATTACTACTACAATATAATTTTTTGGGTACGGTTCTGGGACCGTTCTCACTCAAGAACCGGTGTCATACCATATTACTTCATCCGTTCTTAAATAAATGCAACGGTCAACATTTCACACATGTCGAGACACAACTTTGACCATTAATATATATTATTCCCTATTAGTAAAGAAATTAAAAAAAATAGATTTTGAAAATTTACAATGAGATAAATTTAACAATATTTTTTCAAAAAATTTATCAATACATTAATAAATAAAAGGGAAATTTACTAGAATATGACAAAAACTCAATGAGTTTCCCAATCTATGAACTAACTAGTTTTTATACCTTTGTATGACCAAAAATCCAAAAACAAATAGAAAATTCGTTTATATTTAAATGTTGAATGACGAAAATACCCTTATTTAAAATATGTGCATTTTGAACTAATTTCGTCCAATTAAAATTACTGTATTTTATATTGCCGTTAATGCACAAAATTAATGCATGACTTCACTGCACATCCGGTAATAATCACTGCGCTTCGATCAAAATTGATTCTCTTCTAATTTACTTTACAAAATTATTTATAGTTTTTTTAGATTTAATAATATTATTATTTTACGTCTAATTAAGTATATTGCGGTTCATGGCGAAATTACTGCTCTGTATTACTGCATACCGGTCATTATCACCGCACAATAAACTTGCTTAATGCATTTATTCACTGCCATGCACAACATATATATTTCCATTCTCAACAATATCTGTTATGATGTTCGGTGCACATATTCAATGCTTAGAAACTCTAATTTTAGAAACCCAAACTTTAAGAAATAGAAAAAAAAACAAAAATTGAAAATGGTAAGCCTAAGCCTTGTAGCGGATCCTGCGCATAAAAAATCCAAACCTAATTGTAACTGGAGTATTCATCTACGGAAGTCTTCTGCGAGTCATCTTCACCCATGGAGGCGGACAGTCGTGCGGCTGAATGGAGGCGGACAGTCGTGCGGCTGAATGGAGGCGGTGAGTTGGAGTGCGCCGTGCAGTTAGATGGCGGCGGCTGGTTGGGGATGAAGGGCGGCACCTGGAAGGCGGCGGCTGGTTGGGGACGAAGATCGGGGCCTGGGAGACGACGCGCAGAGTTTGGGACGGCGGCGGTACACATGGCTCTCCGACAGCTAGACGGTGATGACGGCTGCTTATGGGCGAACGGCGGCACCTGGGAGGCACGGCTGGTTGCGGACGAAGGGTGGGGCTTGAGAGGCAGCGCACCGAGCTTGGGATGACGGTGGCACACATGGATGATGGCTCCTCGTAGCGAGGCGGCAGGCGGCTGTGCAGCGGGACAGTGGTGACAGGCGGTCGTGGGAGGCAGATGTGCGGCTGAGGCTAGAGCTTAGGTTTAGAGAAAATGAGTAGAAGATTAGGGTTTTATAGGCATATTCTAAAGGGTATATTAGTACATGAAATTAATTTAATTATTTACTAATTACGAAATTAATTAAAAATTAAAATTTTAAATATTATTTTGGGAATAAAACTAGTTAGGTCATAGATTGGGAAACTCATGGAGTTTTACTCATACCCATGGTAATTTTCTCTAAATAAAATGTGATCAAAGTAGAACATGTGAATAGTGTAAAATTCAACATGTTGCATTTATTTAAGAACGGAGGTAGTATTAAAAAAGTTCGGTATGGTTCGGTATTACGTAGTATATTTTTCCGGTTTTGTTAGGTTCTGGTACGGTTTGGAACGGTTTTTGGTACGGAATGGGAAATCCCAGATCCGTGCTCAGCCCTAGAAAAACTACCTACTCGTTTTTTCTGGAGTACCTGTCCCTCTACTAAATAAGGTATCTAGTGAGTTTTAGGTTTTTTAATCTCTAATTAATTATAATAATAATATGGAGTAATTATTATTATTATATTATTATTATTATTGCTTATACTAATCTATATTAATATGAAAAGATCCTGCTAATATTATTTCTGAAAAAGTGACGAACAAAAATATACTCTGTATGACTTAATAATTATAGGCGACTACAATTGTGTTCAATGTTAAGATCATAAAAAATACACACAAGTCACTATCATTTAAAGTTTGAACACAATTACAATCACTAATTGTTATTAAATCACTCTTCCCCCATAATATTTTATTAGTAATATTTAAGGAAAAATCTATATGAAAAGTCATAATATATAGGGCGTGTTTGGCAATTAGTGGTTAGCAGTTAGCGAATTACGGATTATGTAAGCGGGTTGTCAATGAAGGATTCGATCAGCGGATAGGTTGGCGGGTTGTCAGAAGATGTTTGATAATTTAGCTGTTTGACCATAAAATTAGTAGAAAACGTCATATTTCAAAATTCAAACCCAAAACTCTCACATTTGCAGCGTTTCCATTTCAGCGTTTTCATTCAATAACGCTAACGTCGAGCAACTATTCACCAAAAAACTTTTTCACATGTTGAGAACGCTATAAGTGATCAAACCGCTATTTTTCGGCTGAAACGTCATTACCTCTCAAAATTTACTAGTACCTTTACATTATACAATAAAATAATTTAAGAAAAGAGAATGGTAAAATTTTAAGAAATTGCCCTAATATGAATAAAATGTAAATTTCTAAAACATGAGTATGACGCCTTTATTCCGTGAATATGAGTGTTTATATTTATTTTTAGAAAAAATGTGAATTATGACAATAATATTGTCATATCAAAGTATGGTAATTTCAAAAATGTGAAAACGTTTTGAAATTTCAAAATAGGACTATCATGTTTTTTATTTTCTGAATAGGAGTAAATTTCTGCGAAGTTTGGCATTACTATGCTTTAAACATGGCATTTTTCCAAACTTGGCAGATTACTCCTATTCAGGGAATAAAAAACATGACAGTCCTATTTTTGAATTTCAAAACATTTTTCCTCCCCTCCCTTATCTCTTCCCTCTTGCTCCCTTTTCTCTTCCTTCTCTACCTAGCCCACACAGATACCAAAAGAATATCAGATCATTTTCTTCTCTGCTTTTTTATATCTAGTTTTTCCCTTGCACAAAATGAGCCTATTAATATATTTCCATCTATTTTTTTGACCTTTTCATTTTTTTTTCAAATTATATTACATGTAAATTGAGCACACATACTACATCATTCATTTCCACATATATAGATAGATACATATTTTGTTTACCCAAACAATTAAAAATGATCACACAAACAACTTTTGTATGTGAACCCTACATATATTGCATGTGTGGTAAAATCTATCTAAAAAAATCACATTTCGATCACATAAAATATTTTTCTATACATAAACAATTATTGTTGACAATATTTGTGTACAAAATGTGTACAACTTGTGTACAAGAAAAATTTCTGCGTTAAGAAAAGCTAAAAGACATATGTTCAAATTTAGCCATGGAACCAAGTGGAGGGTGGGGTGAAAAATTAAAGCTACCTCGTTTCGGACATTGACATATAAATTATAATCAATGTAAAGTACATGATTTGTCATGTACGGTTTCGAGTTATGTCACGTCTTAGCCTGATTCCATTGTACCTACAGATCTATCTCGACTGTTTGAAAACTAACGACATTCATTTCAGCCTTATACTGCATATAATTAAGTCTTATACTACTCCTTCCTCCTGTGAGGGTGGTGCTAGAGGAGGGCAGATCAACGATGTCATCATAGATGAGGTGAAAAGGATGATGGTATTCGATAAAAACATATTTAAAACTCGATGAGTGTCATCAACGACAATTGAACATTAGCATAACACTATGTAGGCACTTGTGTCATTAATTTGAGAAGAAGTCACTCATAATATCACTGTTATAATTGACAAAAGAAGAAGAATCCTGAAAAATGTAGGGAATGATTTATTTATTTATTAGTAATAAATACTTCGTATGTGATTATTTTAGTGACAAAACATAAAAGGTCACATTTTTAGTGATTATTGGCCAATTTTTTCATCCCAAATTAAAACAATTTGTCATTTCTATTTTAAGCAATAAATATGTGACTAAGTTTGTTTTTTCTCTCTTCCCTATGCACATATATCAATGATACAGTTTTTACTTTATAATTTTATGTGCAACTCAAATTTGTCTATTTTTTTTATATGAAATGTCAAGTAACACCCAAAAGTAACGATACAATGTATCAAAACTATCTAAGCTAGCTAATATAAACAAAACTAATAACTAACGTCCCCCACCCCCTACCCTACGGCAAGCGGTAGCGGCGGAGAGATAATTTGGAACGTCCAAATACTTCACAAAAGCCCAAAACTAGCATAGGACATGCCCCTACTTAGTGTCAAAATAATCCTAAAGAACTGCTCGCCAACTGCAAAGGTCCATGTATAGTGTATACCAAGCTACGAGTTAAAGCCCTTTCTCCATTTTCCAAAGGGTAATTCTAAATACAGTCCCTAATTTACTAAACAAAGCCCTGAATTAAAATGAATTAATTAATTATAAATATTATGCCTATTATATCCCCATCCCTGTTATCCCAACATAATTGCGTCTTTGAAAGCTCCGTTGTAACTTCTTACCGAACAAATTTACAATACATCAGATTCCTAAGATTAATAAGACAAGGACAATTCTAAATTCAATTTGAGGTTTGACGAAGACAAAGGCAGCACTTGAGGTTTGGAAGCCAACAACTTTCAGAAGTGGCTTGCAAGGGAATTGGTTTGGTGTTTGGGATTATAGTGGCAAAAGGTTGGGACTTTTTCGACTGAGTGTGGTTGTAAACTTCTTCTTTGGCCGGAATTAGCAGGTAAACATACGGTGGAGCCGCCGACGGATGGAGAAGAACGGTGTAGCACCACCAAATACCTATGGCCGAGAGTGTCCGGCTGTCCGCTTTCTTCTTCTCCTCCTGCTCTCCTTTCACAAATCGGATCAAGTTTTAGTATATAGTACTCCGTAACACTACGTACTTTATTACAGTCGATCATCACTTGTGAAAAACAGTCCAAAACAGTGAAGCTCCTTGGCTGGGCCAGCAACCAGTCCAAAGCCCAAAGAAGGCGTCCAAGATCGGGCGTAGAACTCCATCACAATTCACAAGTCAAATATGTCCAATATTTATGGGACTAAGGAAGTACAGGAGAAGTAAAAAATGTCCTTTTTGTGGGGCAATATTATTGGACTAGATAATTTCCATGGTGCAACCCAATGGGCGACCCATTCCCAAGCCAACCACGATATCGCCACGGACTGCTGTCAATGGACGCGCTTCGCTTCAAGAAAGGGTCCGGCCGGCTCATGCAGCAAAATGTCAAAAATGCACCCACGTTAACTCGGAGAAATCTCGTACAAAGCGTGGGCAACATCGTCAATGAATACCACGATATTCTGCCAGGTCGAAGATTCAATAAAGGACACGTTAATAGTGGGGTAGAAGACAAAGAAACGGCTTTCCTGTTATTCACTTATTTTCATTCGGAATTTCCACCCGTTAACCACTGAGCCTCCAATCGTACATTACTTACATCATAAACGGTCCTCGCCTCTGATTATTGAACGAGACATTCGTCTGCGAAATTTCTTTGCCTTTTCCAATCCTCCGCGTTTTGTTCCTTGTTAAAAGAAAAAAGTTTCTGGGCTGCAAACGTCCAATTTAGATTTTGTTATACTTTTTTATTCCTGAAAAGTTTGTTATTCCCAAATTTGTCGATTGATTCGTGGGTTTGGGATTCGATTGGAAGCTGGTGTTGATTTGGGTTCGATCTGATAATCGGTCAGAAGCAGAGTATTTCTGCATTGAGGAGGCAGGGGAAAAGGCGATGAACGTCGCTAGATTTTGCGAAAAAGTCTCGACGAAGATGGTAGAAGGGGGATCTCATTACTGTCTCATGAAGAAAGATGATATCTGCACCGGGGTAAAGTTTTGATTTTTCGTTTAATTTCTAGCTTCTATGCATTAGGGTTTTTTGAGATCTGATGAAAAGGCACGGCCTTTATGTTTGTACTGGGAAGATTCCTGTTAGACTTTCCTTTTTTGTACTTCAAATATGCTCGTCCGATTTGGAAAATTGTGTTTTGGAAAAAGACAAAATAATATCTTTAAGCATGATTAGTTTAAGGTAAAGAGTATCTGAAGCTGGGTTAGTTTTTCTTTCAAAAGGATTTTCATCGCGTTTCAGAAGTGTTCCAATCGTCAAGGTTGCATTCTATGTGTCCTGGACATGGGAAAGGTTTTGGATTGTGTATTCATATTGGTGATATGATTGAATCTTTGTGTCCTTGTGTCTAAATAGAGATTTTGAAGGGATATCTTTATGTATGCTTGTGTTGAAGATTTTACTAACAGTCATGAATATCTGCAGGATTCGGGTAGAGGATTAAGACTATCAAGATTAAAATGTCTGCTTCGAGGCCTCGACTTCAAAATTTTAATATTGCTGTTCGTTCTGATACCAACTTGTGGCTTTGGGATCTATGTTCACGGCCAGAAAATCACATACTTTCTGCGACCTTTATGGGAGAAACCGCCGAAGCCCTTCCATGAAATCCCTCACTATTATGACGTGAATGTGTCGATGGATAATCTCTGTAAACTTCATGGCTGGGGAGTTCGGGAGTTCCCTAGGCGTGTCTATGATGCTGTATTGTTCAGTAATGAGGTGGACATGCTGACTGTTCGATGGAAGGAGTTATACCCTTTTGTGACGGAGTTTGTTTTGCTTGAATCAAATTCGACTTTCACTGGATTGCCGAAACCCTTGTACTTTTCCAAGAACAGGAAGGATTTCAGCTTTGTTGAGCCGAGGCTGACTTACGGTCAAGTCCCTGGGAGATTTAAGAGGGGAGAGAATCCATTTGTGGAGGAGGCTTATCAGCGGTTAGCGCTAGACTATCTTCTCAAACAAGCAGGCATTCAGGATGATGACTTGTTGATCATGTCAGACGTTGACGAAATACCTAGTAGGAACACTATAAACCTCTTGAGATGGTGCGACGATATACCACCTGTCTTGCATCTAAGAATGAGAAATTATCTCTATTCCTTTGAGTTCTTTGTTGATAACAATAGCTGGAGGGCTTCTATCCATAGATATCAGTCCGGGAAGACAAGGTATGCTCATTATAGGCAATCAGATGATATCTTGGTGGATGCAGGGTGGCATTGTAGCTTCTGTTTTCGACGAATCAGCGAGTTTATCTTCAAGATGAAAGCTTATAGCCATTGTGACAGAATAAGGTTTTCTCATTTTCTCAACCCAAAACGAGTCCAAAAAGTCATTTGTGAAGGGGACGATTTGTTTGATATGCTGCCCGAGGAGTATACATTCAAGGAAATTATTGGGAAGATGGGGCCCATCCCACACTCTTATTCAGCAGTGAATCTGCCAGCCCATCTTTTGCAGGACTTTGACCGTTACAAATTTCTCTTGCCCGGTAACTGCTTGAGAGAAAGCGGATGATGCAAGTGGTACGAGAAAACGGTTGATCCAATTTTCATCCACGCTGCAGCTGCTCTGTTACTTGTGAAATTCTACGCCCCAAAGACATATCCTAATTGCAATTATATTTATCCTCTATGAATGATAGTAGGATGAATTCTCTGACGTGGAATCTGCATTAAAACATTGCATAGAACAAAGATAGATATTTCATTCATGGAACATTATGAAACTTGCTGCTGCGAGATAGCATTAGTTTTTAGGCGGCCTGTATAGTTGTGTATATCTTCCTATCCTGCACTTGATGATCCCAATTCTGCAGGAAGATGGTAGTCTAGTTCTTTTATCTTTTCTGTTTGTGTTTTCCCTCTTGGGAAATTTTTGTGAAACATCAATCTCTTTATTGTTTCTTAAGCGGCATTTCTTTCTTGTCTCTTCTTAGCATTTAGATTTCCCAACAGCAATGTCTTTTTTGTGTTTATGGCAACCGTCTTGGTAAAAAGTTTACACCTTTTCTTTCTAATGAGTAGTCGTGTTACATTAGGGGTGGATTCGGGTCGGGCCACCCGGCCTGTGTACCGGACCGGCCCGCTACTGTGCGGGACCGGGACCGGCCCGGTTCTCGGGTCCGGGTCCGGGCCAAATTGATTATTTTTTTTTTTCCCATTTTTTGGGGTTCCACCCGGGTTGGGCTTGATGGTTAGGAGGGGTTTGGGGGGAGGGGGGTGGGGGGGTGAGGGGGGGGGGGGGTTTAGGAAAGCAAAAAAAAAAAAAAAAACGGAGGCCTGGCCCGGCCCGGACCCGGTGGCTACCCGGGCCGGTCCTGGGTCTACCGATTCGGAACCGCCGGCCCGCCTGGGCCTAGGCCCGACCAATATGTTACATCAATGTTGGTAAATTTCAAGGGTATTGTTAACCATGTTAATGATGTTATGTGTTTGCCAAGAGCCCAAGACTAGCTGAGAAATATGCAATATTAACTGGTTTCGACTTCTTTCTAAAACGCACTTTATGCAACATGAATCCCATTGCAAACACTATAAATGCATTATACATCAAATGAAAATCCAATTGTCCACTAACATATTTCTAACATGATCCAACTCTTCCAAAAAATTGAAAAAAAAAAGTTGTCTGGGGTATCAGGCCACCATAATCCCATACAAAGATTATGGGATCCGCCTCTGTTTGGATCTACCTTAAAAAATTGGGTCTAAAAGACTAAAACCCAAGCAGTCGGATCTTTAGCTTTTTTTATTCTATAAATGCAATATTGGTAGTATGAATTTTGATACATTTTCTGTGAAAATTGGAGTATAATAAAAGAAATAATTACATATGTACGAGGAAAAAAAGATTATTTACAAAAATGTGGCTAGTGATTATTGTGTGAATTTAATTATAGTAACTTATGTTCCATTTTTTAACTTAAATAATCATGACATTACACTGTAGTAACTATTACTCATATTTTTGTGAATAAGTTTCTTTTTTAATAATATTTTTGTAAAAACTTCAAATAAAAAGGTTGTAACAGTTTTAAAAAATTAAACACTTTTTTACTGGAGGCCCCCGCAGGCCGCAGCTGCCTGACTTTTGTAAGGTGTTAGAGACACTATAACCAAGCCCTATTCGCCGGCCCGAATTTTTTTGGGTCCGTTTCTAAAGATCCGCGAGTTTCCGTACAGTTTTGGGCCGTACTGTGGGCCGCTCGTCCTAGTTGCTTTGGGGGTTAGATTTTACTCTATAAATACAAGCTCTCTCACTTGTAATCAGTTGATCCGAAATTAATAGCAATTCCTGGCTTGGTAGCGCCCCCAGACGTAGTCCTTTGTGGCGAACTGGGTTACCAAATTTCGTGTGTTCTTTTCTTATTGTTCTTTGTATTGCGTTAATTAATTCTTAACAACTTTGTCCTCTGTTTCTCCAGCATCCTCCCTTTTTCGTTTCAGCTGTAATGAATGAGGGATAAGTTCCCCACTGGTGCTAGCTACCCAATGGCCAATACCATACCTTCTATATACCCTTTTTATTCTGGTATCACACGTTCACAGATGAAAACATAAGGGTCTGTTTACTAACAGAGATATTTTCCAGTTTTCCAGAAAATTGGAAAACCGGAAAACAGAAAACAGAAAACGTGTTTACCAAAGAAAATTGTTAGAAAGCTGGAGAAATGAAAACAGGAAAACGTGTTTACTAAATCGTTTTCCAAAATGAAAAAATGAGATATGTCTCTGCTTTCCTTAATGATTTGCAAAAGTGACTTTTGCTAGTTTTCCAAATTTGGAAAAAGCAGATGCTACAATGCCGCTGTAATGAATTTGCATACTTACACCTAATGGTGGGCCTGGTCCCGCTCCGAAGTCAATTCCATTCCGGTACCTCCATCCTCGTACCTTACCCCTACCCTACCTACCCTACAATGACCCTACCCCACCCCGCCACATGCCCCCACCTCGGCCTCACCCCAATCCACCCTACCCTACCGCCACCCTCTACCACCTCGACCCACCCTACCCTACCCCACCCCTCGTATATTACCCCTACCCCTACCTTACCCCTTACCACATGCCCCTACCTCGGCCCCCACCCTACCGCCATCCTACCCCCACCCTCGTACTGCCATCCTACCCCTACCCTACCCTTCCCCTACCTCGGCCTCACTCTGATCCCGGCCCCACCCTACCGTCATCGTACCCCAAATCCCTACCCTACCCCTACCTTACCCAACCTTAACCCTACCCACTACCCCACCCTTACCCCTAACCACGACCCTAACCCACCCACTACCCCCTCCTAACCCCCTACCCCTAGACCTTATCACCCCACCCCGACCCATACCCCTTACCCACCCCTACCCATACCTTCCCTACCCCGACCCCTACGAGTAGGTATGTGTGGGTATGAATGGTTGTAGGGGAGTATGGGTAGAGTGTAAGATCGTGGTAAGGGTAGGGGTAGGGGTCAAGGGTGTGGAATTGGGTGTAAGGTGGGGGTATGAGGTATAGGGGCGGGGTAGGGGTTAGGGGTATGGGTACACGTATGAGGTGATCGACCCCACATATTATATTATATATTTGTGTTCATTAATGTTTGTGTGTCTATATATGTATAGGGTTATTTTGGACATTTTAATGTTAAACAGTGCTTTAAACCTTTTGAAGTAAACATGATCTTACAACATTGCTTATTTTATGCGCCGCTTATATATTAACACGAGTCTTAATAAGTACCATTTAGTAACTCGTGAAGTAAACGTGTCCTCAGTCTTTTGGATGATCACAGAACTGGGTGAAAAAATTGATGAACATGTTATCAGATTTGAAAATAGAAAACTAAAAAATAGAAATAGAAAATTGGAGATAGAAAAATTGAAAAATAAAAACAGAAAATTGGAGAACGAAAAACAGAAGTAGAAAACAGGAAAATATCTCTGTTAGTAAAAAGGCCCTAATGTTTCCACTTTTCACTTAATGGTTGCAATTAGCCTTATGACAAGTCTATTTGATAGAACATTTTGTATACTACATCAAAAAACATGAAAAAAGTCGATTTTCGAAAGTTAACTCAAACTTATCAAACTCGCATAATTCTTCTTTGAATCATCTAAAAAATTCTTAATGAGTAAAATTAATTCCTTAACTTATTTTGAACAATTTCTTTTGTATTTACAAGTAGCACTGGCCGGGGAAACAGGAAAATTCCTTAAGAATATTATTCAGTCACATTCTCATTAATTAAGCTGGATGCCCACTCAAGCTAATAGTGATCACCGATTAATATGCTCCTCTATCTCCATTTCGCAATTTGCAAAAGAAAAAAATCTATAATTTGGACAAATAATCAAAATCCATTATTCTTTATTGAAGTAGGAATATAACCCAGCATTGCAAACACTATAAATACATCCAATGGAAATGCAAATGTCCACCATCAACTTTCCCCATAACTCTAAATCACCACCAATTTTCTAATCCCAATTTAGAGAAAAAATGGTTATCAAGAATGAAGTAATGTTTCCTGGGGGTGCCTACAAGAAAATGAGCTACACAGAAGAAGATCGGGAAGTGTCCTACTGCAATGACACCTTCTGTCACAGCAACGGCTCCTCAAGCATGCAAATGGTGAGGCCGGCTAGCCACAGCCACCACCATCATGTCCCCGAGAAACACCACGGCGGCCACCACCTTTTCGGTGGAAACCACCACGAAAGCCACGGGCTTCGCCACCACGGTAATGGTGGCCATGTGAATGAGGCTGTGGAAGAGAAAGTTAAGATCTTTAGTGAGCAGAAGGTGTTGAGTGGAGGAGGGCATAGGGAGGGATATGGAAGTGACACTCACTTTGCTTCCCACGCTGCTAGGGAACCCTACTATTATAGGAATACTGAAACCTTGAAGTATTCGGGCACTCCAAACGGGCGCACCCATCACTTTGAGTTTAAGGGTTTGGATGATTGAAGACTCAATTATATTATAACGACTGGCCATTTCTGCTTGCATGTTGGAAAATAAATATGTGCTAAAATAAAGAATGCATGGTGCGAAACTACGTACAATAAGATCGAATAAGCTAAGAGTTTCATGTACTTCGTATTTCCTTGCCCTCTAAACTTCTGTCCATCTAGCCTGAATAATTGTGAAATATATTTGATTACTAAAAAAAATTGTATATGTAAGAAATGTTTATTCTATATACTTCATACTCTGCATGAGTTAAGCTATTCATCTTTTTATACATAGGGAAAAATAATTAAAATACCCCAAACTTTGAGAGAGTGTGAGGTAAACACCCCAAACTTGCATATGTAATTTAAATACCCCAAACTTTTTATAAAAAATTATTTTAGCACCATGGTCATGTAATATTTCTTTCAAAAATGTTAATTTTTTGTGTTAATTTCATAATTTAAAATATTTTAGCATTCGTGAAAATACAATTAACATTCTAAACTTCCGTTGTAAAATAATTAATACTACTCCCACTCTATATAATTGCAACATTTTTAATTTGTTATTTTAAATTATGCAATTAACACCTTAAATTTCTATTTTTGAAAAAAATTATATATGACCATGGTGCTAAAATAACTTTTTATATAAAGTTTGGGGTATTTAAATTACATATGAAAGTTTATGGTGTTTATCTCACACTCCTTCAAAGTTTGGGGTATTTTATTTATTTTTCCCTTATACATATGACCTTAATCTTTCTTTTCTGAATTCATACTATCACCGTTCTTTTTTAGTTGTATTACATACTAGTATATTATATTGGTGAACTTTACATTGTTGAATTTTATACTATTCACATACTTTATTTTAACTATATTTTATTTATTAATGTATTACGAAGTATAATTCAAATATTTGAAAAATATTGTTAATTTCCTGTCATTTTAAATTTTCAAAATATGAAATTTTTAATGTTTTTTACTAATAATAAATAAAAGATATTAATGGTCAAATATGTGAGTTGGAAAATATGTAGAGCAGACCCTAAAAGAGAACGGATGAAGAAATAATTATTATCCTGTCCCAAATTTATTTGCAAAGTCAACCTTGTCAACTTTTTTTAGTTAAACAATTTTATTCAATTCAATTAATTAGGAAACCAATTTTAAAGATATTCTAAGAATTTTGCAACTTTATATAAATTTCAATGTATTTTGGATATGTAAAATTAAATTATTCAAATTGAACTAATAATTAAAATTTTAATTAATTATTAAAACTTAAAACTTAACTATAAGATTTATTGGCGAAAGTGTTACTTTACAAATTAATTTTGGACGAAGAAAATATTTATGATCGGTATAATAGGTAATTGAAGTGACGTTGAAAGTGGCCATTATATTTAATTATATTACAAATATAATTATATTTATGCAGGGAAACCCCATAACCCTGGCTCACTAAAATTTTGATACAATCTTTTATACTACCCCCGTTCTTAAATAAGTGCAACTGAAATTTTACACTATTCACATGTTCTACTTTGACTACATTTTATTTATTGATGTATTAATATATATTTTTAAAAAATATATTATTAAATTTGTCTCATTGTAAATTTTCATAAACTATTTTTTTTAAATTTTTTACTAATAGAGAATTATATATATTGATGGTCAAAGTTGTGTCTCGACAAGTGTGAAATGTTGACTGTTGCACTTATTTAAGAATGGATGAAGTACGAATTATATGGGTCCGGCTCACCCCAATTTTCTCCTCCGTCTACACCAGTGATTGTAGTCACCTTTAGTTTTTATAATAATAATAGTAATAGAAATAATAATGATAATTGTGATAATAATAATAATGATATTAATATGAATAATAATAATAATAATGATGATGATGATGATGAATATTATAACAATAATAAAAATAACAACAACAATAATAGTAATAGTAATAATAATAATAGTAATAGTAGTAGTAGTAGTAATGATGATGATGATGATGATTATAATAATAATAGTGATAATTGATTATTATTACAATTTAATAATACACTCTCGTCCCTAAATAACCCCCCTCTATATTTGAGATGGCGCAAATGTCGTCGGAACAAATAAAAATGGGGTCATTGAAATTAATTTAATTAACCACATAACATTTTCTCTAAAAGACATTGGAGATGAGTTTGAGATAGACCATAAATCAGATCATTATATATTGACTGGTTTAGACGCATAATTTTTCTCTAAAAGACATTGGAGATGAGTTTGAGATGGACCATATATAAATGAGATCATTGAATTGACTGGCCGGTTTAGACGTAGGCTATGTTTGGCAGGCATAAGCTTCCGCCTTCTAGCTTTTGTACTATACAAAAAGTCTCTAAAAGTTTCTAGTTTTTTGTTTGGCATGCCAATTTTTAAGAGCTTTTCAAAAAATAAAAGATCTTTTTTGAGATGCTACAGGGAGTAGCATCTAAGAAAAGCCCGTGACTTTTAGTATTAATTAGTCCTAACAGCTTGTATACCAAATCAAACTAAATCAAACAGTTAGCTTTTTACCAAACAGCTATCACCTTTTCTTTTTAAGATCTTTTCCGTTACTAAAAGCTAACAGTTACTAAAAAGCTCACAAAAGTATCTTTTCAGCTAGTTGTGCCAAACATACCCGTAGTATATTGTGCAAGCTAAGTCTTATTATGAGTCTGTTTGGGAATAGTAAAATTGGGTGAATTGGTTATGCTGGAATTTTTATAGTTCTCGCTAAATTGTTTGGATTGACTGATTTATTGGGAAGAAAATTAAAAGACATTATGTTAGTAAAGTAAAGAAAAGATTATATTAAAATAACTAAAATGATCTTCTATGGTAACTTTGTAAGTTCAGTCAGTGTGACTAGAAAAGTAACGGCCGGCCTCAACCTTACTTATTTTTATTATTACACTATTCAGCGCACATATCAAGAATTACGTATTTGGTGAAAAAATTGACTGATAAGACATACGAAGTAATCAAGCACCCTCTATATCTAATTTGTTTAGGTTGTTTGAGTCTATCCAATCTGATCCGAGTCCAAGTGCAATCATTCTCAATTCTCAGGCATGACTATCATTTACCAACGGGAGAAATTTCTAAACACGGAAACATAAAATATGCTTCTAATGCAATCAATTTGCAGAAAACATATTCCATCTTTCAATTCCGAAGGGACTAAAGCCGTGGAATATAACAAATTAAACATGCATATAGATTTGGGGGAGGTGCTAGCAGAAATAGGTAGATTCTAAATTGTGGACAAATGTATGTATTTCCCATGTCTGGCTCCATTCTTCGCATGTCTTATCTAATCCCAATTCGAAATCGCATTTTCCCAAATCCCATAGCCTTTCATTCTATTTATATACTCCGCAACGGCTTAATCAAAGTAAATATAAAAACTTAAAGAAAAAATCAAATGAAAGAATAGCTAAAATGGTTCTATTAGCAAATTCAGAAAATAATTTAAACCTTACTAATTTTGTTTATAAATAGTTAGTTGATAAATAATTTACATAAAAACAAGGGTTATCAAATACTTCCTCCGTCCCATAAAATTGTTTTTGGGTCATCCCAAAAAATTCTTCTCACTTACCATTTTTGGACAATTTGTGTGGCTCACATTTATTTTACTCTTATTACACAACTATAACCATACATTTCACTTTACTTTCACTCCCTTAATGTGCGAGCCAAGTCAATGTGGGAAGAGTTTTATGGGACGGAGGAAATAACTCTTAGTTTTGTTTTAATTAGCTTCTATTATTCACTTTGCTATATTGTTATTCCATTTCTTCGTATTATTGTTTTGCAATATTAAATTAAATGGAGTATTATTATGGGGTTATCATTCCTACCTATCACATTTATTTACGTCAAAATTATAAGTACTTTACTAGTTCCATTAATTAAAACTCGATTATAAAGTACTACATCAGTTTGCGTGTTTGAATTGAGAGAGAATCTAAATTACATTCACATTTTTCAATTGGGAATAGATATATTGAGAAAACTCGATCATAAAATAAAGAATGATATTCATCAGTCACATTGTCATTACGCTGGATGCGCACTCAAATTAGTAGTGATCACAGATTAATATTCTCATCTCCATTTTGCAAATGAAAAAAAAAAAAGATTCTAAAATTTGGACAAAGAGCCAAAATCTATTATTTCTTACCCAAATAGGAATCCCATTACAAGCCCTATAAATACATCTAATGAACTCACAAATTTCCACCAACACATTAGATTGATCCAACTCAAATTCCATAAAGAAAAAATGGTTCTCCAAAGTGAAATCCTTGCTGGGGGTGCCCACAAGAAAATGAGCTTCGCAGAAAAAGAGGAAGTAGAAGTGTCTTACAACTTCAATGAAGACTCTTCATGCATGCAAATGGTGAGGCCTCATGTCCCCGAAAAACACCACGGCGGCCACCACCACCTTTTCGGTGGGAAACACCATGAAAGCCACCACCTTGGCCGCCATGATAGCGGCCGCGGCCGTGTGAATGAGGTTGTGCAGGTGCAAGAAGAGAAAGTGGAGGTGTCTTCTAGTGAGAAGAAGTTGGTGAGTGGAAGGCATGGCGGTGGATATGTAAATGATGAGACTCACTTTGTGATGGAATCTGAGTTCAAGGGTTTGGAGGATTGAAGATCCTAAGCTTTGATGCACGACCGACCATTTCTGCATGCATGTAATATATATTTATATGAATAATTAAAATGTGTGGTAAAATAATCATGGAGGGCATGATCACGTTATGCTATGTATGGTGTGAACTGTGAAATAAGTATAAGAAGTTACATATATATTATCATACACTTATACTTCTATGAGTCTATCCATATTCCATATATATTTCCATCTAATCTAGCTTGATTAATATAATTCCAAACAAAAGTGCATGGTTGGTTATTTAATTTACTAAATTAATTGCTCCCAGCTCGTCGCCACCATTTGTTGTTGCCGACCACCTGCACCAGCTATCATGCATCACGGGAAAAAAAGTTTTGGAAGTGAAAACTATATCATCCGATCAATTCTTCATCCCAAGTTTCTAAAACAATTATGAGTAGCAATCCGGTCATGCCGTTCTCACGGGACTCTCCGTCTGGTCCTGGCCGTTCGGGGTCCTTCATGGTGGAATTCTTTGATGATATTTTTCGAGCATGTCCTTCATCTAGTCTATTTTATGTCCATCAAATTTTTTCTTGAAATTCTATCGGAAAAACAATTAAATAATTTTTTTAAACACACTGTGTTATGTGTGTGTGTAAACAACGCAGTGTTTTTCAATTCCACATTTGACGAACTTCGCGATTAAATTTTTAGTTTGAATTTGGTGGATATAAACTAGACTTTAAGAAGAACATTCTCAAAAAAAATTATCAAAAAATGCCACCGGGAAGGACCCTAAATGGCCAAATGGCCTTGGTCGGATGGCAGGTCCTGTCAGGCCGACTTGACATGATCGCTACTCATATGTGTATTATTCACTAATGGATTTTAGTTCATAAATTCTTTTAGATATATTGGACAGAAGTTATTAGGATTTCCAAACAGGGACTAGTAGTTTAGTTTAAGAATAAACATGTGTTCTTATAATCTTTAAGGTCACGTATCGTACTAAAAAACTTACTTCGTATATTATAACTCAATCTTTGTCTTTCAGTTGACTTGATTATCGTTCATATATCATAGCTCATGAAATGGACTTTAATTTGAAATGAGGTAAGAACAAGCTAACAACTTAAATGATCACAGATTTACAGCAACACTTTCACTAAAACTTAATTAATAGCTGGAGACGGCCGGAGTACTGAGAGATAAGGTCAATCCCTGATAAGTCTTGGACATTTCCGCTCAAAACTAATTTTATGAGGTTTTAAATATTCTGATAGTTTGCAAGGAGAGGACGTTTTGCGCAATTTGTAACACTTGTGCTATTGAATTGGTTGTGAGATGAGAAATGAGAGTTATGAAAGTAGCCATCAAACTGTTATAGCACCATATAATGCATATGTTATTGCGAACACTAAATTGATTTTTATCTTAGCTTCTCCCATGCTATTAATCGATATCTAAGTAGCACTAAAACAAAAACCAACTGTATAAATAGGAGCATCTAGGGATGGACTCGGGCCGGGCCAACCGGCCCGGAACCGGACCGGCCCGCTACTGTGCGGGCCCGGACCGGCCCGGTCCGGTCAACCGGTTCGGTTCCGGTTCGGGCCTCCCGGCCCGGTGGTATACCGGTCCGGGCCCGGGCCTCCAGTTTAGTGAACCGGCCCGGCTGGGCCGGGCCCGGTTCGGGCCGGAATTTTTTTTTTTTTTTTTTTTTTTTGAAAATTTTTTAAGTTTTGGGTTGGATTAGGTATTTTGGGCCATTTGAGGTGGTTTGGGGTGGTTTGGGGTGGAGGGGGAGGGGTAGGGGGTTAAATAAGAGAAGAAGAAGAAAAAAAAAAAACATTCCGGGTGGCCCGGCCCGGCCCGGTTCTGGCCCGGAACCGGAACCGGAACCGCCCACCACCGGTTCGGGCTCAGGCCTCCTTTTTCTGAACCGAGGCCCGGCCGGGCCCAGGCCCGAACCGGGCCCGAACCGGAACCGGTCCACCCCTAGGAGCATCATTCTTTTTTCTTATATTAAAATGTGACTCATTCACTTCTAATTAGAGAAATATTATACTTTAATTTGAGTAGGACCAAATAAATCATACGGAGAATTTTGGAAACAAAAATACGGGTGTAAAAAGCATTTTCTTCTTTTTACTTTACTCTTTCACTCTATTTTTGGGATGTAGAAGGACGAAATCAGATTGGTGGTGTAAAATGTTTCTGCAAAAAAAAAAAAACTAAATCAAGTAAAAGTTTTCAGTTTACAAAAAAAATTGTACTTTTAGCCTTAGATCATTATATGATTTGTTAGTGTTTCCTTTAGTAATGGAATTTTTTACTAAACGCCACTCCCCAAGTAGGCAAGTAGGGGTGGGGAAAATGCCATTGATATTTCCACCACTGTTTAATAAAAAATAATTACATAAATATGACCAAAATAAAAATAGTTTACAAAAATATGACCAATTAGTCAATTACTAGAGTAGTAATGAAATCATGATAATTCATGTTCAAATTTTGAACTTTAGTTAACACTACACTACATTGTAGTAATAAATAGTCATATTTTTGTAAATAAGTTTTATTTTAATAATTTTCTTGTAAAAAACCCGTTTAATAATGTAGTAACTATTAGTTGATGACAATAAAATAAATTGATAATTTTTCTTACCCAAAGAGAAGAGTAGGACTGTAGGAGTGGACCGGTTCCGATTCGGGCCCGGTTCGGGCCTGGGCCCGGCCAGGCCTCGATTCAGAAATGGGAGGCCCGGAACCGGCCCGGGTAATCCCGGGTCCGGGCCGGGCCGGGCCTCGGTTCTATTTTTTTTTTTTTTGCTTTTCCTAATTAACCCCCAACCCTCCCCCCTCACCCCCAAACCACCCCAAACCACCTCAAATGGCCCAATATACCAAGCCCAACCCAAAAACTTAAAAAAAATTAAAAAAAAAAATTAATTTGGCCCGAACCGGCCGGGCCGGTTCGCCAATCAAAGGGCCCGGGCCCGAACCGCACAGTAACCGGGCCGGGCCGACCCGAACCGCCCCCTGGACCGGTTCCCGGGCCGGGCCGCCCGGCCCGAGTCCATCCCTAGAGAAGAGGACTTTATTTAAAGTCATAAAAAAAATGAATACAGAAGTTGTGAATAGGGGGACACAGTATAAAAATGATGAAAAAAATGCAACAAAAGGACAATTTTACTTCGATAATGGTGTTTAGACTGGAACAACATTGTTTACAACCTCGACGTCAAACATTTATCACTTTCTAAAGCACTTTCAAAAAGAGTCTTTTCGACCACAAGTCAACAACTAGATTCAAAATGAGACCTAAAGTTCAAATGCAATGGGCAGCTGCAGCTGATGAGGTCAAAATGTCAAATGACTTTAGAAGGGTGGGAAATGGAGTGGCACTGAGATGGTGCAGAAAACTACCAAAAAGATAGCAGCCATCGGAGGCAGAATTCATTACAGTAGTCTTACGAACCAAGCAAAACAAAACAATGTTCCCTGTCTATAAGTTATATCTGAGCTGAGACGATAAGGGTAGTAGGGGAAATGCAATTTTACAAAAGTGACAAGGTGCAGCAATTAATGTACTTGGCGCTAACACCCAATAATTTTAGCTCCAATTCTCACAGCAAAACTTAAGATGCAATTAAACAAAAGATGAGAAAAATTATTATCTTTTAATAATCAGTCAGAGCAAAGAATCCACAGCAGTTTGAAGTTTACCATCTGTCATCAGATCTTGACCTGCCAACAGTAATGGTGAAAGTTAGTTGAACTTAATTTGGGGCGAAGCCTGAAAAATGGTCAGGAACTTCTAAGGGCATAGCTCTGGAAATAAACCCATGGAGATGGGGAAATGTGAAAGTATGAAACGATAAGAAGGCAATAATTTTCAACCCACTAAATAATCAGTAGCAGATTTCCAATATTCAAAAGAACTGCATCATCATCATTATCCCAGTGCCGCAAAGGCTCCTACCTACGGTGGGGTAAAGGGGGGTCGGAAGTACGCAGCCTTACCCCTATACTAAAGTACAAAGAGGCCGTTTCCGGATGACCCATAGTGAAAATTGTGTCAAAAATTGCATAGACCGACTGCTGCTTCATAACAAAGAAGCGCAGACAACTTAGTGAGTCATTTTGCATTATTCCATCAAATTCTCAAGCCAAAAAATAGTGAGTTTTTGGCTCCATTGCAAATGATAGAGTATTCAAAAAGAACTGCAAGCAACACTATTTAATGGGGGAGAAGTAGTGATTTTTTTAAAAGAAAGAGACTAGTTAAGAACTGTTCTGGTTTTTATTCTGTTCAAAACCTTCAATCTCCCCCCCCCCCATGAGAGCGCTTACACAGTAAGTTTGTCTCAAGGTCAAAAGAATGTTAAAATCTTGACACTTTATTCACATCCATCCTCAATTGCTCTCAACAAGATCACGCCGAATATACAGAGCAAATAAATTAAGAGCCCCTTTGGTAGTCTGATTCGGCATTATGCTGTGCATGTTTTGGCTTATGCTGTGCATATTTTGGCTGAAATAGATTTTCCCAATCACTTCTCTGTTAAGGTGTTCCAGCAGATCTTAATCCAAACAACCATAGCCAAACAGACTATAAAACAACAGAGACTACCAAATGTGAACCAGTAAACACTGGCCTCAAAAAGAAATATATTATCCTCCATGTGTTTGCAAAAAGAGAAGTGAACTTATAATGTGTAGAATAAAGAGACAGAGAGTTATAGTACCTTTCCATGTTCCTGTTACCAACAAATCTTCTATCCCTACCACCACCTTGAAGAAATCTTCTGTCATCAGTTGACCGAGCAGCGCCTTGAAAAGCTCTTGTGTCCTCTGTAGGAAAAGCACCTTGGGCTGTACCTCTTCTATCATCACCTGGCCTACCACCACCTTGCTGCTGCTGCAGTGATCTTCTTCTGTCATCAACTCGGCCATACAAAGCATCTCCTCCAGTTCCACGCGATCTAGGCCGCCGAACATCCATGAACTCACCACTTCTGTGTTCATCAACAGATCCTGGCCGGGATGGGGGTCTGTCAGTAACTCTGTTCGATGATGACCCTGGCCTCTCACTGTCCTTTTCACCAAAACGAACTTTGTCATCCAATTCCCGGATCAGCAGTTCCAATTCCCTTTCTTTTTTATTTATCAGTTCATCATGGATGATGCTTCCCTGGTCATCTTCACCGGGGTTTTGACGTGCTTCTTTTTTAAGCAGTTCTATTTCTTTTTTCAAATTCTTTTCCTCATCTGTCTCCGGCCTGAAACAATTTTTTCTCACAATTAGAAATTTGGATGAAAGATATATATGTATATATATAGATTGGTTTATATAAAAAAAATATTCTTCCTATGAAAAATCAGAATGCATCGCAACCCTTTCAATTGATGTAATGAATGGTTGGATCAATGGAAATTATTGAGCAATTGAGCATTTATTGAATAGGCTTATATATATAGATTGGTTTATATAAAAAAAAAATTCTTCCTATGAAAAATCAGAATGCATCGCAACCCTTTCAATTGATGTAATGAATGGTTGGATCAATGGAAATTATTGAGCAATTGAGCATTTATTGAATAGGCTTCCTACAAGGATACACTTGAATGTCACAAACTTCACCTTTATTCGGTGCACCCAATATATATGAGCCTTTAGATACCCAAGATGACTGTGCAAGATGTATTCTCATTTTCATATAACAGATTGTTTACTTGCCACCAACTCACTCACACTCATACACAATTCTGATGAGATTTGGTCAGGCCACCTTCGTTTTTTGGCCAAAAGAAAATCGAATGAATCAGATTTTCCGCTCATTAGTATCAAGAATTAATTTTCGCTCATTAGACCATACCAGCAAATCAATTTCACTGAAGAGAGATAGACAATGGAAAGTATGTAATGATGAATTAATCCTAATTGTTTAATCATTTCTACTAAGACCTATCTTGTAACAAGATGTAAATCTAGAGGTTAAAAGGCAGAATTGCCCATGGC